CTTGCCTCGCAGCAGTTGGGTGCGTTACACCACTACTCTGTACCAATCGCGGAATCTCAACGCTAACGCGAAGAAACAACACCTGGGCCGTCGCGCAGGCCGAATGGCGCAAGCCAATCCCACCGAGGGACCCATTGAAAAGGAGTTGGAGGTGGCCCTCCGCAACATGAAGAAGGATTCGCACAGGTAACAACCAAGTCCCTCACCAGTGATCAAGACCAACAACCGCGGTAGCCCACGAACATCCAATTTTGTGTCTGATGTTGACTCGATTCAGATACGGCGGGGCGCTGGTGCTGAAGGAGCTCGCCCGTAACGCGCCGACGCTGTTCTACCTGCATGTGTCCGAATTCTTCGACTGCGTGGGGGAGGGACTCAAGGACCCGAACATCGCGGTCCGGGAGTGCACGCTGGAGGCCCTGCGCTGCGCTCTATCCCTCGTCTCCCACCGGGAACACAACCACCGCCATCAGTGGTACCACGCTATCTACCAGGACGCCTTCGAGGGTCTCATGGTATGTTTCTCTCTCTTTTCCTACAAGTTTTCTCACGTCCTGCGCGCCGTTTAGTCCACTCACACCCATCTCTTGGCGTGGCCCCCATTCTAGGCCAAGTCGGTCACGCCAGCTGTCGTCCACGGCTCCCTGCTTACAATGGGTACAGGCGCGATTCTAGGTTCCTGTTCCGTGTAACGCGTGGTGGTTGCTGACTTGATTGTTTGTGAGTTTTTAGCTGAGCTTCTGGTGGCAACGGACTGGATGGAGCCGCGATATCGAGTGCTCTGCGAGAAAGTGCTGCAATTCAAGGTACATTCATCGAGCCAGGATTGTAGTGGTAATGCCGAACCAACTAATACATATGAGCGGTGTGAACATCATTTACAACCCGCAGGATAACAAGGACAAGATGGTGGTCAACACCGTGATTACGCTCCTGCCGATCCTGGCCAACTTCTCGCCGCAGCAGTTCAACGAACTCCTTCTCAAGGACGCGGTCGCGTGGCTCCTCACCATTCTCGAAAAGAAAGGCGACATCAGCAAACCGGAAGCGTTCCTCGCTCTCGGCCAAATTGCCAAGGTCTCTCCTCCATCACTTGTGGTTGAACGGCGTGCCGTGCCATGCGCGCTGACGTTAGTCCCACTACCAGGCATCAGGCAAGCAACCGATGAAGCCCTACGTGGCGGCGGCCATGGAACGCGTCGGCGAGTCATTGGACCCCAAGAAGCAGAGTTCCAGCCAGGCTCTGCAGTGTCTGGGCCTGCTGGCAGAGGCCATGGGCTCTGACATCCTGGTCACTGTTTCCACCGTCGAGCTCCTCAGTGCGAGAGAGACCACCCATTCGTCTCCTGATTACATCAGTTCGCTTCCGTGTACGTTGCTTACAACTTCATGTTTCTGCGTATTGTAGGTAAGATGTTTTCGTCTGGGCTCACGAGCAGCCTAATCGACTGCCTGCGTCAGTTATCCGGCAAAGTCAACGCATTGCTACCGCGCATCCAGGAGGTTCGGAGACCAAGACGGCTGAAGTCTTCTTTGTATTCAGGTTGAGTTGGAACGTTAGGACTCAACGCAACACGTTCGCGCTCAGGCACTGATGGACGAGATATCGTGGATCCTGGCGGGCAAAGCGTTCGCAAACTTTCAGCAAAACGACGCGGTGAGCCTCAAGAAGAGCGTAGCGCTGGCGGGCGCCATGCGGCCGGTGCTTCCCATGAGATACACCTACCCCGACAAGGTACCTTGTCCTTTTATTTCGAATTAAAAGCGCTTTCTGCAACTGTTTCAAACGCGCTGGTGGAACGCAGAGATGGTGATTCATTCAGTGCATTTCTCTTCACTAGGACAAACCAACGCAACTGGCGCTGGAGACATTGGCCACATTCAACTTGCAAGTCAACGTGTACAATGTGGCCGAGTTCATCCGCGAGATCGTCGTCAGCTTTCTCGACGATGACGAACCGTACGCCACCAGCCATGTCCCACTTCCATGCGCGCGGGCCAACATACTCATCCACGATGGTGCGTGTCGATCTACATCCAATCGAACAGGGACATACGGCAGGCAGCAGCGCGCACGTGTACGTCCATCATGGGAAGAGCCGAACAGACCGACAGGAAGATGGCCCCGATGGTCAACGAGGTCGTAGAGAAGCTCCTGATCGTAGGCATATCCGACGCAGGTAACTCTCTCTCGAACACTCATATGAGTGTTGTCACGCTTCTGCTTGCTCACCCAACTGGTTGCCTTCGCCGTGTTCCAGAGCCCAAGATCCGAGAAACCGTGTTCTCCTTTCTCAAGCACGGGTTCGATCAGTACTTGGTCGAGCCGGAGAACCTGCGCTTGCTCTTCATCGCCCTCAATGACCAGGTCTTCAAGGTGGGCCACCAGCTGCTCTCACTTTCGCTGATCTGAGCCTCTGGCATCTTCGCAATTCGTTTCTCATTCTTCTCGTCTCCCGCAGATCCGAGAGCTGGCCATCACGATCATCGGTCGCCTCACTGTCACAGACCCAGGCAACGTCATGCCGTCCCTGCGCAAGACCCTCATCCAGCTCGTCACCGGCCTCGGTTCCGAACCCCTCTTCTCTTTTAATCATCTTTATATTCATACATTCGTTGTTGCATTTTTTTGGCACTCACTCAACTTCATTTGCAATGCAGAGCTGAGCAACAACAGGACTAAGGAGGAGAGCGCGCGGCTCCTGGGCAGCCTCATCCGATCGTCGCACCACCTCATCAAGCCTTACGTCGGTCCCATACTGGACACCCTGCTCCTGGAGTTGTTGCACAGCAGCACGCGCAACCCCGCTGTACGCGCTCTCACTCTCACTCTCCTCTCATCTTAACGTCGCTCACGACAACACCCCATGTGTTCGATCGAACAAATAACACACGAAACGCGCACCTGACAGGTTGGGTCTCACGTGTTCGCGACGATCGGTGAGCTGGCCCGCGTGGGTCGCGAAACCGTGGTGCCGCACCTGCACTACCTCATTCCGCTCATTCTCGACACCCTGAAGCAAGGCCCCATCGCGCGGCGG